CCCCCCACTCCCCTCTCTCTCTAATCTCTCTAATGTCTATCGCGAAGTAAAATTTTACAACCGGTTAGTTATCCTAAATGTAAATCACTATTCATGATGCAATTTCTAATGTTTATGATACATTAAGTATGTTTAGATTACATATTATAATGTTATGTTATGTTATGTGTGAACATCATCTGATACGACACCCCACTATTTTTTGCATATTCCCTATTTTCACAATCTGATATGGATTTTGGCCGTTTGATATTTCCGCGATATCTGATATTTAATACATTGGTTGTATGTAGTTTGGATCATAGACAAACTTGGATTCATAGTGACTAATCTATTTTCAGATTTTACCGATAGTACAAATACTGGGAAGACTGTCACTGAGATTATATTTTGTCTAATTTTGTCGTTGATGTTCTCTCATGTGTCTTGTTTATTATAGGAGGCATTCTCAACCCCCATTCAGCCACTAGATATTCTCGCCGACCAACCTGCAGGGAAGAAGTTTGAATGGGTAAACTTTACGTTTATTTACTAGAAATGCTAATTTCACATTCTTTTTTTTTTCCGATTCTGACTTCCCTTCTTTTGTGATCGTATTCTGGGTAACTGAACGGAAACTTCTTCAGGCAAAGGTATATTGTTTCACATTTCTGCAACTCGAGAGCTCCTGAAACAACAATTACTGTTTGTTTGATACTGATAGTTTAGAGACGTTTGTATGCAGAGGTTATTAGCGAAGTATGGATCACTGGTTTCAGTTCTTGGGTTTATCGGTATGTTCGTCTACATGGTTGCCAGCCCGTCAAAATCCAGCGGCGGAAAAGGAAGCAAGAAGAAGCGTTGATCGCTTTAAGATTCCCGCTAGTGACCAGTTTTTTTTTTTTTTTTTTTTTTTTTTTTGAAAACTGTAGTTGAGATTTTTTCTATGTAGAGGTTCTGAATTAATCTGTGAAGTGTAGTTTAGACCGTTAAATGGCAATATGCTGAAAAACATTATTGAAGAATCCTACACTTTTCTATTTCAGTTTGTGTTTTGCTTTTTGTTTTTCTTCCTCGTCTTTCCTCTTTATTATTATTATTATTAATTTTTTTTGAACGTATGATCAGTTATTTAAGTTGGTCGGCAACCATTGCGTGGCATTATTGACTCCTGCAGGTGTTTATGAATTGATCGTATATTTAAGCTCCTTTTCAGTTGTACGAGCGATGCGGCTTCTATATAGAATTTTTTTTTATGGTTCTATATTTATATTTTGCATATTTTGCAGCGTTACTACTAAAATAATGTTAGGGGCACACCTCCTACCACACCACCAATCACACCCCCCTCTCCCATCGCTACAGTAAACCGGGCCCCACATGAGATTTTAAAATTGCCACACATGAGATTTTAAAAATTTTAAAATCCGATGTGGGGCCCGGTTTATTGTAGCGATGGGAGAGGGGGGTGTGGTTGAAAAAAAACTCTCCGAAACTTCACGGGAGTTGAACTCCCGTGAAGTTTCGTAGTTCAAAAAACTTCACGGGAGTTCAACTCCCGTGAAGTTTCGGAGAGTTTTTTTCAAAAACCGACCTGGTTTCAGCACTGAGGCTGAAACCAGGTCGGTTTTTGCAATTATTTTTGAATGAGGTTGTTTTTTGGGAATAAAAGTCCAAATAGGTTGGTTTAGAAAATTTGTCCTTCTTTTTGCACATCAACTCCTGCACGTTCTCCATTCCCTTGCGGTTTATGTGCTCGAGCCGAGCTTCGGTGACCGGTCATGTATAAATTTTCTACTGAAGAGATTCGTGTATGTGAAAAATACAAAATTCTGAACCAAAAAAAAAAAAAAAAAAAAAAAAAAAAAATTTTAAAAAAAAAAAAAAAAAAAAAAAAAGAAAAAAAATTTGCCATGCAGAACTTGGCCAAAAAGCCTAACGGAGTACCTTCTCTTTAGTAACATAAATATTTTTTATTTTTCTTTTTCAACCACAATGTTTTACCGGACCCCAAGCAGAGCGCGTAAGAATCATAATCGGGTTCGTAACATGACCCGATCCGACCCGAACCCGAGAAGCAGTGGTCGCGGGTCGACCACGGAGACCACCGACCCGAGCTTTTGTTGCAAAAGCCACCCTTCCCTTTTTTCTCCGTCCTCAGCGAAGAAGCCCGAGGGCGGAAAAAGAATACCGAAGAGCTCTCCAGTCTCTCAGTGAGCGATCTCTCTTTAATCTTCTGTTCAAATTCTCTTTATTCGATTTGTTTGTTCGAATTCTCTTTAGCGGTCCCAAACAATTCGAGGGCTTCTAGATTACATACCCAGGTTTTTTTTTTAATCTTTTGATAAATTGGGGTTTTTTTTTTGGTGGGTGATTACTTATATAGTGATTTTCTTAATCCTAGGCTTACTGAGTTCAGAAGACATCAACTTTTTTTTTTTTTGGTGTGTTTTGATGATTATTCGAAGACGGAGGGAGAAAATTTGGTCATAATAGACCTTATCTGAGCTCAATAACGAAACATTAAGTTATAGACTGTAGAACTGTGGCAAAGCTTCTTTGCATTTTGTCCAAAAAAAGAAATTTTTTTGGATCCTGTGAAATGCTAACATTGTTAATATTAGGTGAATACAGGGGGAAGTCATTTAAAGCAATGGAAACTTTAGCATGTGGGGTGGAGGAGTAACGCTAAATATTTGAAGGTGTAGAGTTGGGTGCAGACTGAAGTTAACCTCGGTGTTAAAACATTTTTATATTAATTATTGCTATGATAGAAGAGAGGGCCCTTAGCATGAGCTAACACTACAAATTTGGGTGTAAAAGTTAAAATGGTGTGTCTTGTGGTGCTAGTCATCTTAAGTATTTTACATTATTTACGTTGCAACATTGGATAACAAAGAGTTTCTGCAATTCTGAGTGTTTCATGTGTAAAGGATTTTTTTTTTTACTGTTATGATTATATAAATATGGAGAAAATTATGTGGAATCGAATTTAGTGAGATGTATTGGGGCTTGAGATTAAGTCAAAATTAGAGAAAAGACTGGATGAGTTTCTATCTGTATAGGACGTACCCATGTGAAACAATTTACACTTGCAGACAGAAATTGTCAAGAAACTTTCTTTCTCTAAAGTGGAATTGCTTTCATTTAGTATCAGGTACATAACTATGCAATTTCTCACACATGAGCTTTTCAAGAAAATGATCGGATGACTACCAATACATTGGAGGGGAAATCACTTCATTTGTTTTCGGGATTGGGTTTGTAGTAATTTGAAGGTCAATTTATTGCTAGTATTGTTAACTAAATTTGACAAGGGAACAATGTTTATGAATGTTGGAGTAAGATTGTCTACTTTGGGAAATAACACCATACTGCTAATAATTTGTATGTGAATCTGCACTTTTTAAGTAGCTTGTTTCCTTACTCCAGGACTTCTGCTTTTACTTATGTTTTTGTGCTGCTGCTGATTATTTGAAACACATTTCTTCTACTGTTTTACATTTGAAGCGAATTAACAGTACATTTTCTTGCAGAACTCTATCTTAAATGTGATGTCTTTTGGGTTCATCGGACAATATGGATGACGAGGACGAGGATAATGTTTTGTTGGGCAGTTTGGGTATTACATCCGTGAAACCAGAAGATATTGAGCGCAAAATACTTTCAGAGGTATGTCTATAGATGACAGTGAGGCACATTTTGTTTCTTCCTATCCATGTTAAGTTTTCTTTGTGGAAATTCTCTTCAGTTGCTTTAGAAGTCAGTTTCTCATTCTATGTGGGACCTACTAGTAAATTCTAGAAAGCACCAGCTTGACAACTTCAAAATTAGCAGTTGGATTGTTCCTGATTTGTTGAATTGTTGTGTATTTGGACACAAAAGATTGGTGAATCTTTGAGAAGAAACTATATGTACCTACCAGAATCAGATAGCGTCTTTTGTTTTTATCATCTTAAAGTTGGTTCATCTGAGCTTGTTTATATTATAGAATCGTGCTCAAGTTTGTTAGTAGATTTAATATAACCACAGAAAGAAGATCACATCAGGATTCACATGTCATGTGCATGCTTATGTATTAGACCATAGTAGGCTCTGGTAGTTAATTTAAATGACTTGATAAAAAGAGAAAATAGACATACAGTTTGTTAGAAAGCCAGCTCTCAGGATTCTATTTGGAGCTGTCTCTTTTTGCTTTTTAGTTGGTGAAACCGTGAAAGACAATGCATTGAAAATATATTTTTTGTCAAGCAAGATGCTGCTTCCCTTTTGAAAAGAGCTGTACATGCAGGTGAAAACTGATGCTGGATGTGAGAGCGAATATGTGGAGAACTCAGAATACAACAGCCTTGATGGAGAACACGGAACCGATACATCATCTACTAGCCAAATCAATCTCTTCAACAAGTTGCGAGCTGTTGAAGTTGAAATCAATGCTGTTGCTTCTACCATCGAAAAGGGTAAAGCTGTTGCAGAAAAGGAGAATGAAAATTCAGGCATTGCAGATATCAAGGAAGATAAAAATGTGAGAAATAAGGATTCTGTTCAAGTTAATCCTGATGGATTTACTCTTCAGCAAGCACTAGCCACTGATCGTTTAAAGAGCCTTAAGAAAACAAAAGTACAGCTTGAAAAAGAAATTTCTAAAGTCAACAAGCATGCTCCAATTAATGGAAGTGGAGATGAGGTTCTTCTTGATTTAGTTAAGGAAAAGCCAAAACATAAGCAGAGGCTAAAACCAGTGGATAAGGACAACAAGGATTCTAAACGTCGTCTAAAAACAGTATCCTATAATGAAGATGCCGATTTTGATGCGGTGCTGGATGCAGCTTCTGCTGGCTTTGTAGAAACTGTAAGTTATGTGCTTATATGTTCAAGGAAAGGATGTGATTAAAGTTGATTTCCCTTATCACAGTAACCTATGCATCAATATGAATACGAACAAACGAAAACACACACAAACACACGGGTTCTTTTGTCCTAATTTTCACCTACGATATTGAGAATAAGCAAGCACTCTTTTTTTGTCTCAAATTTCTTTCTGTTCCTTTCAAATAAAAGATATTTTTCACTTGTCCAGAGGAGTCAAAATAGCTTCTCTCCATGTTCGAAAAGGGCATTGGAATTTCATGTCACACATTTACTTTTTACACGTGAAAATTGCAATCCTTAATGCTGATTTTCAACTATTTTACCTCTTAGGAAAGAGATGAGTTGGTACGAAAGGGAATATTAACCCCATTTCATAAACTTAAA